ATAAATCCCCAAAGGCATATCCAAGTATGTATATTGAGAATTATCTCGTTTCCTCCCTGCCTCTTATTCTGTCAACTATACAGAAACACTGTGGAGTAAAGCTGTGTGGAAAGTATAAGCATATCACATAGTCTCTTAATTCTACTTCTGCACATTGGTAAGAACTTCATGTTGGGGGCTGCAGTGATGGCTCATTGGTTAAAGGTGTTTGTATCTCTTCTAGGGTTCAATTCCCATCATCCACTCAGGTAGCTTACAGGTGCCTGTAACTCCAGCCCCAGGGGATCTGATGCTTTCCTCTGTTCTCTACAGGTGCCTACCCTCATAAGAAATTTAAAAAAAAGGAAAAATAAGAACCTCACATCAGGGAGATGGCTGAGCAAGCATGAAAACCTACATTCAGATCCTTAACATCCATGTAAAAGCCAGGCACGGGGGGAATATGTTTGTAATATCCTTGCTGGAGGGTGGGACAGAGACAGGCAGATACTGGGGCCAGCCAGCCCAGCTTAATCAGTGAATTACAGGTCAGAGAAAGCGCCCATTTTATAAAATAAGGTGGGGAGCAATGGAGGAAACCATCTAAAGAGTCAGCTATCATGCACAGGCAAACACAACCACACACACACAATCACACTAACAACCACACACACACACACACACACACACACACACACACATAACACATGAGCTTCACATTAATAATATAACTGAATGTCCTGGCAATATCTAATTAGAACTGTTTCCATTGGTATATGTAAAACACTCCAAAAAAAATGAACTATAAAGACTGAGGAGGAGGAAGACAGAAAGGAAGGATGTGTTTGAAGGAGGAGGGGGGTACAGCAAGGATGCATTTGAAGGAGGAGGGGGTACACCAAGGATGCGTTTGAAGGAAAGTATTGATCTTTTACCTTTTTTTCTGTCCCACACTCATAAAAAATGAACTGTAGAGACTGAGGAGGAGGAGGTACAAGATGAGGACAAACAAGAAAATAACATAAGACAGGTTCCAACTGAATGACAGTTAAATGAAAATTTAGAGAGAGAAAACAATCATGGTTGCCCCTCACTAAAAGTACATTTGGGAGCCAAATGCTGTCCACCAGAGTCCCAACTAGCTTGCCCGGGGTTCCAGCTGCAGGGCCATCTGAGGTTATGAAACTGCACAGGAAAGGTGGAGTCAGGGCACTGATTGAGCGGCAAGTCCTGAAGAGGTGAAACTGGCAGCATTTTGTTGGTTCCTGTTCTGTAAATATCGTCTCCTATTCTTTCTGCCAGCATTTCAAGGCTTCCTTAAGTCCCAGCAAAATGAGCAACTGCAGTCCCATAAAGGGCCAGAACCTAACACAGGAACAACAAGAATCACCTTTCCTAACCCAGTCACAAAAAGACAAACATGGTATGTACTCACTCATATATG